GGGGGCTGGGAGGGGAGAGGGGCGGGGCTGACCGGGAGGGGGTCTCGCGGCGGCTCGGCCGGGCTCCGGGGCCAAGGCGCGGCGGAGGCCAGGTAATTGGTTTCTATTTTAAACTTCACTTTGTTCTGGCGGAGGCTGGGTGGTGGGAAAGGCGTGGTCCCTGAAGAGGGTTATATAAGTCTTCACACCTGAGTTGGGTCCTGTGCCCCTCGAAAGGGGCGAGTTTGGGGCGGGAGGGGCCGGTGGGCACTTGAGCTCGGGCATCTCGGCGAGGGGCTGTTGTGTTGGTTTGTGACCTGCCTGTGGGACCCGATGAATTCCTCGGTGGTGAGCAGAAGGCCGGAGTAGACTTCTGGACGGCTTCTAAAGCCCAGATGTGCCCGTGGGCCCGGACCGGGCCTTCCAGAGGTGCCCACTGTGTAACAAAGAACGGGGCGCCTGGACCCCCTAGTCCACTCTGTGCTGACTTAACTAGCAAGTTACAGAAGGAACTTTAGACGGGGCCTTAATTACACATTCAACACAAGGGCATTTCCCCGTGAACCGGCCATTAAGTATTGGGTCTTGATTAAAGACGATTTAAAAATGGATGTGCGTTGAGCAGAGTACGAGCAAAGTGGATGGCACCCCACCAGGATCTTTCTTAGATTATGTTTTAAACCACCCTCTTAATATAATTGAAGTATTTTGGTTTAGGAACGTTTTTTTTAAGGAACTCGACCTGCGTGTGCTATTTGATAGGATACTTGCTACTGCCTTGTAAAGAAAAAAGGTCTTTTTATTTGTTTCTCCTTCATTTTCCTTTGCATTCTTTAATTGTGGCGTCGAAAGAGCTGAATTTTATTTACACAGACTGGCCAGAATTGAATATACCACGTACCACTGTATCAGCGGTGTGTGGAGTTGGGTCAGTGGATGGCGACATCTTTAGTTTCAAGGAGTGACCCCATAGCCATCTTGAATGGGTTCCAGATAAACTGAGCTCGCCCCAAGACTCACGTGTATTCTGGTAATTAAATTAGAATTTTGATGTGTTAAGTTACTAACAAGTCTAATCTTTTCCTAGTTTATCAGGATTTTGTTTTCTTACAGTTGCTGATTTGAATATACTGAAACATTCAGGGCACATTAACATTCTAAAAAAATAGCATCCCCAGCTGATCTGTAATAAAGCTAACCAAGACTGTTGGCCATGCCTTTCTAAAATGAAACAAAACACCAGCGTGGCTTATTTGGTAGCAATTCACTGTTTTCAACAGTGAATAGAGAGAAGGGAGACGTGCTTGTTTGTGTTTCTGAGAGCTTTTATCAGAATAGTCTTTCCAAATGGCACAATGTACTGAATTTATCTAGAGTCAAGAACTTTATTAGGATGTGTACCTGATAATGACTTCGCTGTAGTGAGGATAGTTTATATTAAAAGTGTTTTAATATTGTGATTTGTAGACAATGTTTGGAGGTAACTGAATTTAGAGATACAAAATTTCCTGGGACTTTGCATTTCTAACTTTGTAAGATGTCTCAGGGATGGAAATAAAGTGAATAGAATGAGAGAGTTCTTAAAAAAAAACACACAAAACAAAATAAAACATAAAAACACGTCACAGTGTTAAAAGCACTTTATCTGTATGTCCACAAATGAAAGTTTTAACTCCATTTACCTTACTGGCTTCTACCAGGAGATATTTGAGTTTTATAAATGAAGCATTTGATGTGATTAAGCTTAGCAACAATTGTTTGAAAAAAAAAAAGAAGATTCTTTAAAGAATACTTTGAAGTGAGGAATACTCTTTAACAGATGGCTTCCAGTCTTCCCAAATGGGGAAAAATGATAATACAACCTCGCAGTTTAAGCCATGGGTGGGTCTTGAAAACCAGTTCTGAGTTTATTGGGTTATTGTGGGGTTTTATCCATTCTTTTTCCAGGTTCTGTATTGGTTTTATTCATAGTTAACCAAAAGTAATCTTTGAAAAAGAATTTTGTAGGAGTGGCTTCAAATCTGACTGGAGATTGTGTTTAGAGTTTCAGCTGCATTATACCTTAATGCCATAGAAATAGGAAACTGAAATATAAGCTGATTATGTTCAGCAGGAGGGAGCCTGCCCCAGCCTATGCACTTTGCTCTTGCAATATGCTTGCTTAGACCTTTGAGACATTTCACTGTTTGGGTTTTTATTCCACTTTCAACTTAGGAAAGAACATATGTTAATTATCTAAATACAAGTGGCATTTTGCTTATAATATAACTAGTTTTCTGACTGAAGAAAGCATTGCTGTTAAGTGTGCAGGACAAGCATATCAGCTTTCTCTTTGGTTTTTGATTGGCCAAATTTATCTGGAGAAACGCAGTTTTCCCAGTGGTAGACGTGGGTTTATACCTCATTATAATTAATAGATCTAAGCGAACAAAGCAGAAACAAAAATTTTTTTGACAAGATATCTACATTATCAGTATTTGAACTTGGAAGTAACATTTCTTCTTCAAAAGCAGAAGTCTTACTAGTTGCAAATGTTTATACATTATAGTGCTTAGATAAAGCTATTCAAAACACAATCAGTCCTTTAAAAAAAATGCATCTTTTTGCTGCCTAATCCCTCCCCCTCAAAAGTTCTAGAAATTGTGGGAGAAGTTCCATTAACTTTACTCTTACTGAGAGTAGAGTCTACTCTTACACAGAGCTTCCCCCCGCACATTCATACTCCTCTGTATTTTTGTTTATTGCCTCCTTGCCATCCAACCAGAAGGCCTTCCCTGTGCACCTTTGACCTTTGCTTCTAGAATTGTTAACATGAAAACATCAAGGACTAATTTCATTACTTTGTTTAGCTCATGGGGCCTGGGGGTGACCTTTCTAGTGTTGTTGGGGAACTGCATCTCATTTGGATTTGCATTTTCCCGTGAGCTTTAGGATGTGGAGTCCTTCTGAAGTCAAGTTGGGTGGTGGTTGGAATCTGTCACTCTGTGTGTTCCAGGCAGAAAGGTACATGGATATTCCAAGAGGCAGGTGTGAATGTGGACTATGGCTCTGTACCCAGGGGTGAGGATCTGTGTGGTTTGGGTGCCCTTTGGGCTCAGATGAACTGGCTGTGTTCCCCTCCCCTTTTCCCCCTGGGACTCTCACCCCTGCCTTTCTACCCACTGGCCAGAAGTGTAGTGCAGCTGGTCTGAGCTGCAGACCATGGAGGAGGTTTGCAGGCTACAGAGGAGAAAACATCTTCCACATTGAGCCCTAGCCGCAGTTTGATCAGGTCCCAGGAACAAGTGAGTTTGGAGGTCAGGCAGTGGACATTTTTCTTTAAGTAAAAGGATGATCTCTGTCCTGAGTTAACATCCTCCCTTCAGCATCTCTGGCACTGGGGAAGGTGGGTGGAGAGTCCTCCTGAGCATGTGAAGCAAGCTGTGGTTACCTTAGAATTTTCAGATATTTTGGAAAGTTGTCTCAAACTCATTGCAAGAAAAGAATCACACCCAGCGATTCCATTTATGAAGATTTCATTAATAAATTTAATCTTATGCGAAGAAGAATAAAGCAAGATTTTTATTATGGATTTGGAAGGTCTTGTTCAAGTCTTTAAAAAGTATCTTTACTTTAAAATAAATTGTTTTCCAAGGAGGCATATTTTTAGAGTATGACTTAAGTAGCAATAGGGAGGATGCATTCATAAGGGCTATAAATGCATCTCCTGTACTGGGTGCTGAGGTATATGAAGTATATTTCCTATGGGCTGGTAAAAATTGGCAGTTACAACTGTAACTGTCCGTTTTGTGTTCTTTATCCCCTACATCTGGCCACACGTGACTTGAGCAGCTGTAGCCTTCCCTGCCAGAGTGAAGCTGTCATGTTTGTATGCGGAATGAAATGCTTTCCCCTGCAGACATTCGAAGGGTAAAGAAGTGTAATTTTGTGGCCCTCAACATGCCTTAAAAGTAGTTTTCCAAAAAAAGACCTGGCATTTCATCTTCAGTCTAAATGGTACTGAAAATTACAAAGCAGAGTAATTAGAATTGCAACTATTTTTAGAAAGCAAACAAGTAAATATATGTTAAGTAATGAGCAAAACACAACCCAGGAGAGTAGGAAAAATCATCTAAAAGCAACAACATCAAGCTTGGATACATTTTTTGGTGTTTCTAATCTGTGTTCATTCTAGTAGACGCTTCTGTCTTTCTCTCTCTCTCTTTTTTTTTTTTTTTTGCTTTTTTAGTCAGGAATTTTAATCAAGCTGTTACAGAGTGAACATTTACTTGCAGAGATGTGCAATGTATATAATTGTAAGGTTCAGACAGTTCTTAGCTGATGGTGAAAGTGAGATGAGAAATGAGAATGTTTTGTTGTTTCCAAGCCGAGTTAAGCAGGTGCTTTATTCCTCCAGAAACAGGTAGACTTGCCTCTCTAGGCTCCTCACTCCCTGGGGAGTTGCTGATGTCAGCACAGCCTTCTGCATACAGCTGTCCTCCTATTTTCTTGCTCATTTAAGAGATGGTGTGTACAGATTAAGTATGGTGTTAGCTTTCAAGACATACGGGGAGACTTTTAAAAATTGAAGTTCTCTGTTAAAACTGATTTTTTGTTAATGGCCGAGAAATAAATTGTTTTTTTCAGTATTATTAACACTTGCAGACCCCTCTGATCTCCAACTCTGACCATGTGAAAGCAAGGGACATTTGTTTAGGAATTTTTGTCCTTTGTTTCAGCGCAGGGCAACATGTGTCTGTCTTTGCCATATGGTACTACTTACCTATATTGCACGAGCTGACGAGGGGCTCTGCTTAGGCATTGATTTATTTTAGCATTCGAGAATGTTCTTTGAAATCTAGCACAGTCAGTGATGCATTGAAATTTGTGCAGGGAGGTTGTTTGTGGCTCTAGCAGCTTCTTATTCAGCTGATACTTCAGGGAAGTGAATAAGTTTCATGTTTTTCTTTTCCTGAAGTAATTTTGGTGGGAAATAGCGTGCCCTGAAGTGTTGAGTGATTGTGTTAATTCAGGAAAACACAGAGCCAGATAGGAGTGGTTAAGACTGGACGGCTGGTTGCAAATGCGGACAAAAGCTAGGCTGGTCAGAGAACATTCACTGTTCAGTTCCTGATTATCCCAGTGATTTTAACCTACAGCTAAAAGAATACGTCCTTTTTTTCTCCCGTGAAAGGCTTAGCTTTTTTTCCCCTTTAGAGGATGAATCATTGAATGGATGGACAGGGTCTGTTTCATAATTTCACTGATCTTTTGTGGTGCTGTTCTAGAATTTTCTGCATTCACACAGAAGACGCCCCTCCATTTTTAACACCGTGAATAGCTGTAGAGTACCTCTCTCTTGTTGAATGAGTCTTATTAGCCAGAATCATATATTTTTTTTTCCTGTTTTAAGAAAATAAGTAAACAAATTTATGCACTGTCACCTGTTGGCTCCAAGCAAGGCCTGTGTGCACTGAGAGGTGGGCCAGGTATTGCTCAGAGAACCCGGGCAGTGTGACGCACGTTGCCTTGGTGATGCATAATTTATATCGACATTACCATGACACAGAGAACATTTTTATGCCAGTTTGAGAAAATACCATCATTGATTGATAATCATATTCCTCCCCAGACTTAGATGAATCATTTCAATGCTTCCTGTGACTTTAGCATGACCATTAGCATAATGATGATAATCTCTCCCTTTGAGTAACACCAGGCATAATTTAAATTAATGTTATTGTGATGAGTATAGTACAACTCCAGGTGCTCAAGTAAGTGCCTTCTTTTTCAGAAATGGCTTTTTACTTTTGAAAATAAGAGGCGAGGAAGATGATCTCATTCCTAAAACCAACTTTAAAAAAGTAGCTGTTAGTAAATAAGAGGATTCCTAATGTAAAAGTACTTGCCATAGCAACGTAAACTTAGGGACAATTCTGTAGAGTCATGGGATTAGTGGCTTAGTGGTAGGATTAAAATTAGCCTCTGTAAATTACCCTGGTGACAGAAGAGCAGAATCTGTTAATGGTTTTACAGGAAGATTGACTTATC